TACATAATAAACATGACTGACAAACCCTTCTCAAAACTAGCCAAGAGAGAGATGGGGAAGACAAATTAATAGTTAGGATGAGAAAATAAGTATCACAAAAAATACCACTAATGAATTCCAGAGGAAAATTAGGGAAAACTTCTAACAAACTGAAAATCTAGAAATGGGCAAATGTGTAGAAGCATGTGAAATATTAAAGATGAGCCAAGAGGATATAAGCTACCTATATATGTTTACTATAAGCAATGAAATTGAAGCAGTACTAGATTCGTAACAAAGAAAGCTATGACTAGATGGATTTATAGCTGAATTTTACCAGATCATTAATAAAGAACGACCACCAATGTACTTCAATATATAGGCCAGTGTTACCCTGCTAGGAAAACCAGATAAACAGACAACAAAACAAGAAAATTAATTATAACGAATGTAAGTACAAAATTCTTCAATAAAATATTTGCAAACTACATTCAAGAGCATATGAAAAAGATCATACGCAATGATGAAACTTATTTTATTCCAGGAATGCAAGCATAGTTAAACCTATTTAAATATAATACAATATAGAAATAGAATAAAGCACAAAAATCATGCAATCCTGTCAATTGATGCAGAAGAAGCTTTGACATAATTCAACATGCCTTCATGATGAAATCCCTGAAGAAACAAAGAACAGATAAAACATACCACAACATAATAAATGTGGGCAAGGAATGTGGCTTAGTGGTAGAGTGCTTGCCCATCATGCCTTAAGCTCTGTGTTGGATTCCTTGGTGCCACATAAACACGAAAAATAAATAAATAAAATTTAAACATGCAGAAGAAAATAAGAAAGGCTATGTTTGGCAAGCCTATTACCTATATCTAACAATAACACTCTTGAGTTCATATCCAAAACAATGGAATTCAATATGCAATAGAGATATCTGTACACCCATGTTTATTGCAGCCGTATTCACAACAGCCAAGTCATGGAAACAGATGAAATGCCTTACAACTGATATACATATAAATATATATATATATATGTATATATGCATATACATTGCAGTATAAGTCAGCTATAAAGAACATAATCGTTCCACTTGTAGGAAAACTGAAAAAAATGGAAAACACCATGTTAACTGAAATAAGCCAGACTTAACAAATTTCATAGCTTTACTATAATATATCAAATCTAGGGAAAAAACTCATGAATGTAGAAGAGGGACTATTTGGGGAAAGTGACAGGTGACAAGAGAGGTTGCCAGTACATGGAATACATGCATGAAAAAGTCATAATAGAGTAGATGAGTGGATCAAGAAAATGTGGTATATATACACAATGGAATTCTATGCCTCCATCAGAAA